TTTTAAGAAAAAATTACTTATCTAATTTTTATTTTTTTTTTCCAATGCTGGAAAAGATCCCAGAAAAAAATGTCCTTGGAGCTTATAAGTTTACATTACGGTATCGAGAGGAAACCTAAAAAAACAAAATCTAATTTCCATTAAACACTGATCGCATGGCTAATTGGATGTTATTCCAATTCCTTTGTTTTTAGTTTTAACATAAACCTTACTTACTTTTGCTTCCATTCTTCCCTGCTGGACATTTTTTTTCTGATCTTGCAAATCTCTGACTCACCTGAGTTTATCAGAGTTTAAATAATAAAAAGAAATGCTTTGTCTGCTTTATAAGGGAACCAAAATGCGTACATATGTAAATCAAATGTTTTCTCTACAAACGGCCAAAGTTATAGAGCTGATGCAGAGCGCTATGATCACTCCTCTGAAACAGTTTAACGCCTAAATTAACTTAAAATATCTTTTACTATGCTGGTGCCTGCAGTTTATAGCACATACCAGAATAACGCTAACATCTACTTCCAGCCGCAACCAACAGTATGGGAAAACCCCCAAGAGGGGACCGGGCCTGAGGCTGCTTTTCTCCATATGAGCGGTTTGCAGATTTTGGTGCATGTTTTTCTTATTTATTCATCTCCAGAAGCTCACAGTCGACTTTAAATAAACTGTAGCTGTCAAAACATTCACCACATTCCCAGACTCAATCCTATTCCTATTTTCAACAAAAGCTGCTCCAATCAGGAAACACTATCTTGTTTTTTTTACAGACTTTGTAGCATTCATGCACCAACAGATGACAGATAGGCTCTCCTACAATCAGCATTGTCAGTTTTTAGATGCCACTTTAGTTTATTATTCAGCTCAAAAAAGACTTTAAACCAGGAGAGGTATTGATTGCAGGATAATTAAGATAAAACCTGTCACAATCCAGCTGCTAAAACAATATTTCATATATTTTGAAGTACATTTTAAAACACACAGAATGTTTGATTTACATTTAGGCATTACAGTTTAAATATCAGAATCTGTTAATATTCACGATTAACTGAGAAATTTCTAAAGACTGCGAGTATTTCCAGAACCAGCATATCCTGTGAACCCAGTGACTGTAAGCAGAGAAGGAACAAATTGGTTTAACTTTGCTCATTAAAAATGTCTCCTCCTTTTTTTTTGAACGCATCAGCCTGAAGGAACAGCAAACACGTGTCCATAAGTTCCTCAAAGTTTCTTATAATCAGGGCTTCATCTGAATAATTGATGTTAAGGGTGAGAATTGTTATATCAGTTTGCATCTCCACACTGAAGAGTGTTAATCCGTTTGTTTTAACACAACTGTGTCTACTGATCAGCCCAATCCACTGTACATTCACTCTATTCTACTCCTCAGCTGATTTCTGGGTAAATCTTTACTGAAATAATCAAAATTGTCAGTTTTTAACTTTTACTTGTTTTTGTTTATCTTTTGAAATATGGCCTGATCAACGTATAAGAGATCAAATGAGTATTTTTTTACGCCGATGTCTTGGAATGAGTTCTACCTGCTTCTAACCGACATAATCAAATTGGGCTTTTCTTAAATAAGCAGCAGGGTCTGGGTTTGTTGCAAAGCTCAAAGTCTCTAGTGAGGTTTTGCATTTATAGGAACGCTTACTGTCTCTGTTGAATCACATTCCACATTCCTTTGAAAAAAAAATAAATAAATAAATCTGAGGAATATGATGAAAAAAAATGACCCCCTTTTTGGTGGGTATAGTGCATAGTTTGTGTAGATAGACCTCATCTTTCTCTGTGTTTTTCCACTTGGTACATTTTTCCATGGACAAATGTAAGGAAATGGATCTGCTAATACAATTTAGCTCATGACTCATTCTGACCAGTGAAGCTCAGTGGTTGTGATGCTGCCATCGGGTAAATTCCTGGCTGCTGTTTGCATTTCTTATGCACACAGTACATCAGCGGCTTTCTGGGGCAGATATTCCAGGCCATGTGCGTCGCACCTGTGGAGGATGGATCACACACACTTTGCATATTTGAAGTCTGGAACACCCACACTTCTTTGTCTTAGTTTCAGTCAAACTGACTCAACTATTAAATAGTACGCTTTATGTGAGACAGGTCAGTATCCACAGCAGTAGCCTCTTCAGAAAGGAATTTGATTCTGTTTGCTCTGCTGCGTCTCCATCAGCACTGGATCTATAGGCAGCAGCATCAGTGTAACCTTAAAAATGCTTCCCTGCTCTAAGCTAAAGGAGTGTGCTCATGACTGTACAGCGTTCCATACTTGCCAACTCTCTCAATTTATGTGGAAGACTCACGATTTTTAATGTTATCACCTGCTGAGCTCCAGATCAGTCATTTTTCTCGCTAATGTCCTGATTTTTCAGTGAAGGAAAAAAGTAAACTTGTTGGGGATACATGCATGGGTGTAACAGGTGCGGGGTTCATATGGGACATGTCCTCTACACTTTCCCTATCAGTCCCCTAAGCCCCCGGCAATTTACTCATCCGTTAGAACATTTAAACTCATTATTAGTATGGAGTAAGTTATTTCTCCCAGCTGTCTTTGAACACACCACAAACATACATAATGTTAACCCAGAAGATGGATATGAGACATGATGCTGAGCAGACTGAACATGAGCATCAGGATGTTTAGCAAACCAGCCAGCAAGATTTTTTTCTTTTTCAAACAATCCGCTTAAGTTGTATATCATTGTTAGAAAATTAGACCAGAAATTATTTGCTGGTTAGTTTATTCTTGGAATAAACCAAATCCTCTTTCATTTCTGGGCAGCCTTAATGCCTATAGTTGCTCTCCTCAGATGTCTTTTGGTCACAATAGAGAGAAGAGAGTCAGGGTAGAGAAATTAAAAAAAATATCCATGGCATAAAAGCGACTTTAAAGTTAAAATTTTCACTCAAACATCAATGTCCTTTCATGAATATATTAACAAATATCTTCTGCAAAATGTCGTGAATTACTAAAGGCATCAAGTCCACTTGAGACTCATAAAAAGAAATAATCCAACAGGAAGACCAGATCAGTTTGGACTTCGACTATTTATCAGCCTTGGTATGGGCTACCACAGTAAGAGATTGGGAGGGCAGGGAGGCCAACATGCACACAGCTGATGCAGATGCATCTGTTAGCAGCCATGCTCCATGTAACAGTTTGTCAGAGAGGACAGGCTATCACTGCAGGAGTGGATTCAGAAATTATAATATTTTTACGTTCTTTCTTTAGTTGTGGGTCAGCACCATGAAGAACCGTGTGGACTGTGTTCCATATGTTAGAATTGATAAATAAATTAACACTTAGTCTTCTTTTATCAAAGCATTAAATTATACATATAATATTTTATTTTATCTTCAGAAGCAGTTAAACACAGCTTTTCACACTTTTTAGGCTACTTAGTAATTAGCAGTTTGATCAGTTTGGATCATACAGAGTATTGCCAGCATTCGTCAGCTACCCAAGCCACTCCACTTTTCTTTGTTCGGAGATCTAATCCCCTTTGCTTTCCTGTGGAAAAATTGAAAAGCTTAACAAGGGATGCAAACAAATAATCAACTGATGATTAATGATTTATTAGACTTAAATTTGTTCCATCCGATCCAATCAATCGATAACGTGTTTCAAAGGAATTTCTTTGATGTTGTGGTTGCACCACCGTCCACTAGAGGGTGCCACTGTTCATTCTGAAGCTGAGCTTCAGTGTTATTTGCAAAGAGTTAATGCTGCAGCAGAGGCGCACTCCAGCAGAACCATTAATTGATTGAGTGGATGCAGAATACACTTTAAGCCATTCTATTTATAAATATAAGGATTTACTAAGTTATCACCTAAATTGCGCCCATTTAGCTGTGCTGCATGGTGGAACTGCTCTGCTCAACAGGTGTGGAAGTGATTATAGAAAAGTGAAACATTTGTTATATAATAGAAAAAGTCCCACCAGCAATTAGCACGGTAGACTGGGAAGGATTTGGTGAGTTTCTGCACTTCACAGAGATAAGTTTTAACTTTCATCTGAGAACAACCAGAACCCCCCATTTAAAAGCATTGCTAACAGCACATCGTCTCTCCCAGCACTGAATGCTGAATTACTGTAAAAACCTAAAGCTAAACCACAGCTCCCAGCACTCATAATTACATCTCTGCACATTGCAAATCATAATCTTAACCCAGTATGTTTTTTTTTTATATATATCTCATTGATATGCTTTGTTATGTCTTACTAATGGTTTAAATAATGTGTAAGAACATATAAATACTGACTGAATAAAAGCATTTATTCAATCAGTATTTAATACATCTGGTAAAATAAGTTCAAATACTTTTTTTTTTAACTCAGCATATTGTAAAATAATATTAAGCCCTTCTTTTAATAGAAATATCTTCTTGGTACATGAAAAAAAAACCTCATTTTTTAAAGAAAATATCCACGTATCAATTAGTCATTAATTAATCCAAATCATCAGCCAGTTTTAGATGATTCATTATTTGATGTTTTGGAAGCCTAATCTCAACCCATTGTCTTTTCTCCAGCAGCCATTGTATAAGGAAGTGTGAAACAGAAACCTGTTTCAAATATCCCACAATGCAGTGCGGCTGTTACTTTACCCTTTCAGTGCTACAGGAACGCTGACTTACAGAAACCAATGTGTGTATTAGTTACATTATTTATTATTTTTAAATAATTGATTGAGTTAAGAATTAGAAATAAAATAGAAATGATCAAAAGATGTTAAATCAAAAGTGTTTTTAGCTTATTTATGGTGTAACTGTCACCTTTTCAATAGGTTTGTTTTCTGAAATTTAAAGATAAATGTGATATTTACTATTTTAATTGATTCTATCTAAACATCTAAACATTTAAAGGAGGAATGGACTCCAAGTGAGATGCCTCTGAACCGCTATGATGAAGCTACAGTGTAGTTGGTGTAGCTCCTATATCAACTATGTCACCATATTAGGGTTTTTTTTGTTGTTTCTGAAAACCAGAGCTGGTCTATAGTGCTTAGAACTGAGTCTCAGGCAGGGCTGTCATCTTAAAAATCTGTGCTAATATTGCTCTTTCTTATTTTCCATTGATTTCTGCTCTTGCCTGAGTCTGGTTCTTAATTGGCCTTCATGTGATGCAGTTAGAGAATCCAAAACCTTTAAGGTTTATAATGTGGAAAGATTCTGTATTTATAGAACCAGAGCAGAATCTGCCCTAAGAAGTTTCTCTCTAACTTGATGAAAGTCCTCCCAGTCTCAGCACCTCAGAGCTGCTCCGCTATCGTCTTCCCGGATTCGCCATCAGGCGACCAACTCGACAGCTCCAGCTGCAGCTCATTTGTGTGAGCAGTGAACTGAGAATCCATTAGTCCCAGTCACTGATTCAACCCACAGAAACAGCATGTCAGAATATTCACTCTGATTTCTTTCTCTCAGATGTTAACGCCTTCATCTGTTCCAGACGCTATGAGCATCAGACCGACATGTTCCATCACCCATGAATTTGGTCATAGCATGGTTTCTGGATGTTTCTGTGTCTGTGTTTGGTCATGCATTGATGTTAGCTAGTAATTATGCCCTTCCTTTAGTTGCTCCTGTCCAGGAAACCTTTGAATTTATCCAACTAAAAGCTTCTTAATGAAGCTCCTACTCAGTTATCTATATATCTGACAGAAATCTCCTTCTTTAAAGTTTGAATTTCCCGTTTTATTATTATTTTGATTGGGATTCAGGACATTTTTCCAGTTTTGAGCTGCTTAATGCTGTGCTTTTACTGCAGCGTCTCTTTGATCTGAGACATAAGTTTCTATCTTAACCTCTTAGTGGAAATTGCGGGACCTGATAAACACAAACATGCGTCTTCATTTTCTAAAGCTGTTCTGAAACATCTGAATGGTGACGAAAGCTAAAAAGAAACACCTGAATCACACAGATACGATCTCCTATCAGTGGAGTATTATTATCTGTCTGCTTTTAATAGAAAGGGCCCAACTGGACCAAATACGACTTTTCCTTTTATTTCCTCTTTTCCACAAACTCACCGGATTTTATTAAGAAACATCATAAAAACAGAGAATGTAGCTGAATGATGGAGTTCATCATTTATACATCAGCATGGAATGACTTAGTGCTTCACATCAAACAGAACTAAATTAACCCAGTTTGGGAGGAAATGATGGATTTAATTCTACTCCAGTTGTTTTTTTGTTTTTTTTTATTCCCAGATGTCTTTGCTAAGTAATTTAAAACACCAAACTAAATTGATTTATTTCTACCCACCAGGCCTCTTGTCTGATTTCTCGCTCTTGTTTGAGGACCTCCTGCTGCATTAATGACAGATTTAAGCCTCAGCGAGAGCTTTATTTAATCATCACGTTCTTTTCCACACACCAAAACGATTCTTCTTCAGTTTAATGAATTCTAACATGCAGCTTAGACCATAAAAATGAATATGGACCTATGCATATATAAAAAGCATAACAATTATGTCAATTTTAACCTGTTATAAAATCAGCATTTTCCAAAATCCATGTTTTTTCTCTGCAGCTCTATTTATGAAATTAAATACCTGCCCTGCTAAACCCTTAAAGTTTCCTTTTCTTCTTCTCTCCAGGCTGGCTGGTTACGTGGAGGCCTTGGCGTCTCGACTCGGCATGCAGATTCCCGACCTGAGCCCAAAGCAGGCGGACATGTGGCAGACCAGGGTCAGCTGTCACACGGTTCGTACCACGAGTTCTCTGAAGTAACGGAGATGAGGGAAGCTGCTTCTGGAAGCATTTCCATCTAGGCTTCAGTTGCTTTTTAATAGACTATAAACTCTCTCACCGCATATTCATTAGGCAATCAGTCAGTCAGGCTGAAAGGAAATGATTCTAATCTGCTGCTGATGGGGTTTAAGATTAACCACAGAAAACATGGTTAGGAATCTACAGCTCTGTGCAAATAATGGTTAATAAACAGTTTTTTTATAGGATTTAATGTAATAACAAATAGGGTAATTAATTACCAAATCTGTTACTGAAATAGATTATAAACAATTAATTGTAATAAATCAGTTCAACTATGATCCTACAAAATCCAAATAAACTATGTAGAGAAGTGAAAGCAAGACCCATTTAAATTTAAAGGATTACAGAGAATTTACTGATCACCACATGGATTATAAAAGGCTGACCTGATACAGGCTCCAGAATGCAGAAGATGTCGGACTATGCTGGGTATGCTGAGCTATGTGATCCTAAAATCTAGGATTTCTGGACTAAATTCACTTCATATGTCATCTCAATGCACTTTACAGGAAAATACAGTCAGATTGGTTAAAAGTTTCCATCAAAGAAAACCAGATGATTGCATCCAGTCATTGACATCATTAACGGGACATGCTCCTCCTGGATGAGCCTTTATGGATTCATGAGATCAGTTGTCCTGCCATTATTTACATTTTTCATCCAATAATGCTAAATGGGTTCAGACTGCCTTGCTACTTGGGCAAAACTCTTTATTTCACACAGGAAGAGCCGGTTATAACAAAGAGTAGCAGCTGGCAGTACTGGCTGCACTGGGATGCCTCTCATACAGACTGCTGAATAGAGGGGAGAGCTTTCACCTGAAGTGGGGTCCGCAGCTTTCCAAAAAACAATGAATAACCTAAAGATCAGAATGGGATGAGCTACACAGAGCTACACTGTCGCTGCGTGAGGAATAATTCAAGTCTTATGAAGACAAATGCCAGGCTTTTTGGTGGGTTATTTTGGGGGTTTTCTGCTTTTTTCTTCTTCCACTGCTCTATTATTGTACTGAAGTTGATCTGTTGTGATGTGTCTGCAATAGAGTGGGGTTCTGCGAAACGTAATCAAATGTTAAACACAGAAAAAGGAATAATTGATTTATCAATAATTAATAGGTTAATTGATCCAGCAGTTGGCAGATTTGGGAAACCTTCAGCTCCAGGCTGATCAGAGCAGCTTAGTAGACCTCTATGTGTAGCTGAAGGATTAGTGAGACGGTGGGACATTATGTGGACTGATTAGATGATTCTCCAGTACTGGACTCAGTACTCTGTGAAAGCATGGAGGTATTTCTCCTACTAGGCTGCCAGGCTGATTTACTGCAAACCAGCAGTAATAGCTCAGTCCCCATGCATTGGAATGCTAGAGGGTAGGGTTGTCAAAAGTATCGAAACTCAAAAAAGTATCGATACAGAAACGTTGTATCCGGATACAATACTCGTTTTTAAAAGTATCGATACAGTGCCACCACCAGTGGCACCTAAGCAGTCATTCATCTAAAGTGCAGAATAGAGGAAAATGCACTTTCTGAACACTGTGTGATTGAATAATTCTGTAAACTTTTCAGTTTCAGACTTTTTTTTTTTTGTAAGCGGTGCAGCTGCTGAGAATTATTTTTGTTTCTTAACCAGTTTGGCCAGTGTCATTGCTATGTGTGCAAAGCATAGCCAAGGAAGGAACACTTAATTTTAATGTTATAAGTTTTTTATCAAGCTTGCTTAATATTGTGCACAGCATACAACCTTTATTGTATTTATTTATTGTATTTTATTTATTAATGAAAATATTTCTGTAGAATTTTGGAGTCTTTGTTTTTATCCTTGTGGTATCGAAAATGGTATCGAGTATTGAATATTTTCCTTAGTATCGGTATCGAGTTGAAAAGTTTAGTATCGTGACAACCCTACTAGAGGGTGCGTAGCATAATGCTTCAGAGGAAGCTCTGTAGAAAGATGGCCCTCTCTGAACACACCAGTAGCACCTTGGTTCCTGACCAACCAGCTTCGGATCATTTCCGACTAAATCAAATACTAGATTTTAAAGAAGAGGAATGAAGCCACACTCCTTTTTAACACCCTAATGTTCAGCGTTGCTCACTTTCTGTACCATTTTATTTTTATAATTTCATTTCAGAATGAAAATAAAACGGAGTTGTAAAGTGAATAGTGTTTAAGTAAACTGCTTTGACCTATTGCTGCTCTGCTTGCCTGCAGGGTAAAGCCATTGGCGTCGGCATCGGCTGCATCCTCGGCATGTTTCCTCTACTTTTCTTCTCCGATGATGATGAGAAGAAGGACGGACAGAAGGAGAAGAAGGTTGAAACTCCTCCTGCTCCGACAGCCGGCAGCAAAAACTAAAACTGATTATTGTTCTGTGAAAACGGGCTTTTCTCCAGACTCTTCCCATTAAACCAAACTATTCAGAGGATTTTACATAATATGTTTGACTAAAGCACAGAAGACTGGTCATGTGTTCAATGCTGCTAAATCATCCACCATCATAAGACCTGCTGATCTCATAGGTCTAACCTTTCCTTTGAGTCGGTTCAATCAATAATTACTAAGCACTGACTGTATAGCAGAAGACGGTAACTTGGCTGACTGAACGTCCAATGACTGTTCAAAGACGCACTTCAACATTCAGATGCATTTTTTTGTTGTAAACCTGCGTCTAACTTTGCCTCATGCATGTACTTTATTTTTCTGTTCCTTTTATGCATTGTTGCAGCTCTCTGTTTTCTAATCAACAGATTATTCTACTACTTACCGGCAATTAAGAGTTAAACACATCATAGATTTTGTATAATTTATTTAGAGTGTGATAAAGTGATGATGTTTTATTGACTAGCATCACTTAACTCAAATACTCCTATATTTATATTACCTCCATCAGCTGAGCAGGAACTGCCTGGAGTATAACAACACTAACACTTCCTGTACCACAGTAATAATGTCAGCTCTGCTGCCCTCTGCTGGACACACATAGCAGCTAATCTAGTCTGTTCCTTTGATCAGTCCTGCTCATTATTAACCTGCGCTGTGGGGCTGATGTCACTTATTGTTCCCCACAGATTAAAGTTCACTTAGAGAAATGTTTATCTTTTTTTGCTCTTTATGTACATCTCGTATGAAGGCTTTTTATGAATTTATTTCTGTCTTTAAGGTGGAATTGAAGGAAGTGATCAAATTCGGTGCGGTGAAAAAGCATTTGCCTGCTTATAGAGTTCTCCAGCTTTTATTGTCAGAGGTATTGTCAGAGTAAAATAAAAGCAGGGAGGGGGTTTAGGGCGGCGCTGCGACCCTAATGTTAGCTTCATTTAAGATGTAGAACTTTTTTTAGGTCATTTTACAGCGTTTATGGTGTATCCATGCTCTTTGTCGGCGTACTTTCTTAAACATTCACTTATGTCACTTTAGGGTCTAATCTGTCGCTTATTTAGCTAAAATAAATGTACAAACCTTTACCTTTACATTCCTTTTTCGAAAAGTGTCAGAATCAAGAAATCCCTTCAACAATATCTTAACAAAACACCTCATTTTCTCTGGTTTAAAGAAATACAAGAACTTAATAAAAAAAAATAATTTTACTGACAGAAGTGTCCTGGAATGGACTAGTCAAAGTCCAGATTTAAATCAGACTGATATGCAGTGATGTGACCTTAAATAGATAAGCGATGCTCAAAAGGTCCTCAAACGTTACTTAATATAAACCGAAAAACTCTAAAATAGTCTAAAAGTGGGCAAATGATTTCACCAAGCACAGTATTTCTGCTAGGAACTTTATTTATTTATGTTTTGTTATTTATTTAGTTTGTTCCAACTGTGTTGTTTTTACCTAGAAAGAAAATAAGGCATCAAGACTTACGCACAAAATGCATTTTTCTTCTAGGCAGAAGGACCTTTCAGCTGAATGATCTGCTTTGCAGCTGATGATTAAACTAAGTACTGTCTAAAAAAAAAAACTGGAAGTAGAGAGAAGGTGTGTTTGACTGTTTTAACTTTGTACTGTGTGGATAATACAACTTCTAACTAAACATAAGAACAAAATGTACAGAGAAATGTATGCATTTAGGGACCTTCTTCATGTTCAACTTGCATGTGTTATAAAATTAAAGATAAATAAAAGTGTATATCCCTCCAAGGTTTGCAGCACAATTTAAAATGGGGGGTGAATAGAGATGGGGTTTAATCAGGCCGAACCTTAGCATGCAAAGGTTGCTCTTTGGTTTTTTTTCAGCAGTTTTTGTGATCCTGATTCATCTGAGATTTGGAACATTTGGGTTTAAATGTTGCATAAAAAAAAACATCGCTCAGGTTTATGCCGGCACTGATGATGCGTGCTTTAAAAATGCTCCAGCTGTTAGCGATATGTTTTAATTGTTCTTGTTTGCACAGGAAAAGAAAAAGTCAATGCCAACAGCTTCCATGTTCTATCAAACATTAAATTTTCCTGTTTGGTCTAAAGGTGCAGCCCCTTTCTCAGTTTGAAGAAAATGGCTGAATAATATTTCCACATGTTTGAATTTATCTTGAGGATTTCCAATAAAGGATCCAATCCTTCTGCTCCAAAGACAGGATTAAACTTGTTTTATCAGTGAGGATATACATTCATTTATCACTTTAAAAAATAATGTTTTCTCTCTGTTAATCCTAGTTTGCTTTTTATCTAAAAACTAACCTGAAATATAAGTCATGTTACTGTGTAGTAAAAGAAATGATAATTCAGTTTTCTTTATCTAGATAAGAAAATTCTAGACGTACACTTCTTAGTGTTGTTTTAGAAAATCTAAGGATATGGATCTGAGCTGCAAGGAGAACTCGGATGAAGCACATTAATGTGAAAATCCATTTTTCACATCAAAGGCAGTTTGAGTTTGAGTGGGTAAAACAGCCAAAGCCTTAAAGGTCCAAATTAAATTTAAAAGCAAGTTAAACTCTGAACTGGGTTGAGTCTCTAAAATGAGCTCTCTGCTTTCAGAGCTGTATTTTCTGCAGACTTTCTGCTCAACCTTTGAATTTTATAGAATATTCCCAGTTGAACTTTCTTAAACTCATTTTCAGATAAAAGGCAGATTGACGACACAGGAAGTAAAAACCATTATCTGCTGCTAACTGTAAAAACAACCAGTCTCAGATTAGTTTGTTTAAATGGTTGAAGTTAATCTGTTGGATTGTGTCAGAACTGGAAATTTAAGAAGGGCGGTTTGAGCAGCTGTGATGGTGAAGCAGTGACCTTTCTAGGATGTGTCCCGCCTTTCATACGACGACGCCTGGAGATTAGCAGCGATGCATGGAGTTTACAAACTGCATCCAACAGCTACTTCTATGCTGCTTTTCCGGGCAACATAGATGATTTAGCAGATTATCTGTTTCTTACTTGGATTATTCACCTTTAATTACATTTGGTGAACTCAGTTTAATTTTTATTTTGCTTGGGGGTTTTTTTTGGGATCTGATTAGTTTTCTTGTGCTAATAATCTATATTTTATAGACAAGTTCTCTTGAACCACTTAACTCTAAAATATTAAACAATATGGGGAGCTGATGTGTGGATGCTGTAGGGCTGAGGTCTGCAACCTCTGGAGCCATTAGTGGCTCTTTTGAACCTCTATTATGGCTCCTAAACATTTAAGGAACCCACTAATGGTTTAGATGATAGTATATTGACAAATACCATTCTTAGATACTTTAAACAAACAACAGAATTATTTTAATTGACCAGAAATCTATATATTTCTATCGATTAGTTTGGAAACTATGTGTTTCTTTTCTTTTACATCAATTAGTATCCTAAAGAGGGATATTTATGCTTCCAAGAAAAAATCTGTTTTTTTTTTTTTTCCTTATTCTAACCCTGTAAAGCCTGAAACATGGAATAAATGAAAACGATCATTAAACTTTCTGCAACGGTCATTAAACTTTCTTACAAAAAAAATGATTTTGAATCATACAAATTAGATTATTTGTCATCTGTGATACTTTAAACTTTTTATTCAATTTATTAGGGATTTTCTGTTCACTACATGAGTCTGATTGATATAAATCAGTCTTTTCAAGAACAAAAATAAAACTGATGATGCAAAGGTCTGAACAAAACATGATTCCTTTGGTGTTAAAAGGCTGGAAACTAAAAATGCAATTTAACTTTTTGTTTTTAAATAAAATTACAACAGATTTCCTATAGCAGATATTTAAAAAAAAATTTGTTGTGTTTTATCTAAAGATCTAAATGACTTATTTTGATGGGCAGGTGGGAAAATGGCTCTTTGGATTTGAAAGGTAGCAGAATCCTGCTGTAGGGTTTGGATGTAACCGTCATGTTTGCTGTTATGATTACTTCAATGTGTTTCCCTGGTTGTTTAGAGATAACAACAAGCTGAGAGAGGATGAAAACAGAGCACACAGACAAACACCCACCCTGTTTCACAGGGGGAAAGAAGAGCGACGCTCGGGACAGAGGTGGAGCCACTCTGAGGATCATACAGCTGGGGAAAAGCAACTCAGAGGTTTAAGATGCTGAAACGGATCAAGTCAGTGACACAAAATGATGCTTGTTTATAGTTCAATGACACTTTATTTCACTTTAAGATAAATGTTTAACCGTTCACTCTTTCCTCTAGACCAAAAATACTAAAATGGAGCAGCAGCGTCATAAAATCAGTCTGCCAGACACTCTTCTAATCAGTGCACGAAGGTAACAAGTCTGCAAACGTAACAAATCTTCAACAGTGTTACATCATTCAAATAGCTGCTCATCCTGAAAACATGCAAACGTGCTTCACCTTCCTCCGCTCTGCTGAAACTTTACCCACATATACACAAACGGTGCTGTTGTTATTTTAGCAACAATACATTTAAAAGGTCCCCGTGTGTGGGGCCTGCTTCATTTTACATGCTCAGCCTTTCTTCAGGAGCCTGCATGCAATCAGCCTTAAACACTCAGAATAATGTTAAAAAAAAAATGAAAAACTACAGTGAACTGTGAGAGGTATAGGTGTGCATTTAAAGTGTAACACAATCAACTAAATTATTGTAATGCTTTTAGATAAAAAAAATTTTTTTTTTCCATTTTGTTTTTTTTTTTGCTCGTTGCACCGATTACATTTATTAGAAAAGGTTCAATACTTCTTTTATTCACGTTAACCTTGATCATCCTCTGTTCTCGCGCCATAATTCAGCAACTGTCCATGAATGGTGCCATTTGGGCAACTGCCCAGGACGGCATTTAAGGCTAGGGCGGCAACAAGTGGGGGAAAAAAAAATAAATACAAAAGTTTTCAGTCCAGCTTTCATTCACGTGCAGGTAGCTGGAAGTTGGTGAAAACAGGAATTTCTCTTACCCCCATATTTCCATCACTTTCTTATAGTTTGATTGGTTACTGGATGGCAAATCAAGGAACTAGGCAGGGTGACTAAAAACCACCATTGTCACAGCTTATCTGCATTCTGGACTCTTACTATAAACATGATTATTTAGCCCTTAACTCTGTGGATTTACACTTTAAAGGTGGTAGAAAATGAATATTTGGAACAAGCTGGGAAAAATGACCAACAACACGCACATTTGCCCGAAGCCCAAACAACTCCTGTACGACAGTCAGACTCCTGAATGAAACAGTAAAAGTTGGTGTGCAAGTAAACTATAACCCAACAAAGTCTTTTTTAAGACGTCTGGTCATTTTAGATATGTCAATTTTAAAAAAGCTACCTATATAGACGTATCTAGAATTGTAATAAGCCTGAAGATAGCACCATTAACAAGCCCTCCCTCCCAATTTTTAAAAAGCCAAACTCATCGGCACCAGAACTAAAGTCACGACTCATCTACAATCAAAACATGAACTTAAGTTTTAAATGTGCAAAAGTGGAAGAAAGGGTTAAAATAATGTCATTGTTACTAAATCTGTTGGAGGAAACTCTATTTTAACCAATTTAAGCTGAATTCATTTTTATTTTAGTTGAAAATATATATATTAGAATAGATGGTACGGGCAACCACCAGATGTCTCTGTTCAACCCTCCTACAGGGAATCGGTTTAAAAACAAACTCTTCTCTCCTCTGTCTGTCTGTCTGTCTGTTGGAGCTCAGTGATTCCTGCCTGATGACGGACAGTCTAAGCACGTCTTTAGTCCAGCTAAACTTTTATCATGGTAACAGGTATCCAGCCCCGAACACATGATGATAGGAACATTAGGAACCGTATTATTGAATTCTTACCTCCTCCTCTGCATAGAAAGATCTCCAAAAAAAAGTGTATAAATTACATTCATTAACCTATAAAACATTGATTCACCAAGAAATATCCTATTTAGGTTCCACAATAACTTTTCTACCCATCATTCTGATTATTGGTGGAGATATAAATCCTCCTCTATAGAGAATGTGCTGCATTCACTGTCTGTTCTAGTTTTCAGCCCAGCCTACATGTCATTGAGATTAATACTGACCCATGTTGTCGCTGATATATGGTGCTGGCATGAAACTAAGAGCAGCTCCTCGTTCGTACAGTCAGCCACACAAAGCTACAACATTCTCTGGGTAGGGTGGGTGTAGCGGCTGCAGGCCGGTGCCCTCTCTGCACGCTCCTTTGTGAACTCACAGGGCAGCCTTTGTGTGGCACCACAGTGTGACCGAGTGCAAGCATGTCGGAGGAGCATGTGCATATTTACTTCCTTGTGTCTGTTTATAGACGAGTCTGTGTTTGGGTCGTCTCCCACTCTGCTGGCTCCCATCCAGCCGCACGGGGAGGCGAGACAAAAAGGAGAGAGAGATCCGTTTTATCTTCTGATATCGGGGTATTGTTGCTGAAGCAGCCGCTGGGGTTCAGATGGGTGGCAGGGAGTGAGGGGGGTATGGGAGGGGAGACATTATGTCAGAGGTCCTCCTTACAGTCTGTGTGACTCCTCATCCTCCAACATGGCTGAAGGTTCCCATCATAGGAGGAATCTTCTGTGTTCTGACAGGAAAATAAATAGTTTGGTTCAAACTTTCAGCAGGCAGAGCGCTCTCCAAGAAAACTCCCAGCCTGGTTAAAAACGCTGTGAGGAGGGGTTCAGTTGATTTTGTCATTGTTGTTGGAGTGAACAGGCTGGCACTGAGCTGAGAAGGAGGAAGAAGAGGAGGAGGGGGGAGTCAACTTGGTGGTTGCAGAGGGGTCTCTGGGTTTCTGTTTCCGATGCAGGGCGACTGCGGCCAGAATACTGATGATGTGGACATGGAAGTACATCGATCTGTGGGAAGAAAAGGAGGAAAAACTAAATAGGACTCCTCTGCTGTTCCTCATGTGCTGTGAGGAGGAAGGTTAATCGTTTGGAAGATGTTAAGTAGCCTTTAGGGCTAAATTAGTCTACATCATTTATTCACACTCATTCAGAACAGGTCTGAGCAGATTTAAACAGTACATACCAGTTAGATAAACTAATATCTATGTTGGCTGATATTAGTGTTTTTTCTTGTACCTTCCAGTATGTGTATTCATTCACCATTTCACTGGTGGATTAAGCAGTTATGCAGATAATGTGAAGCGCATGCATTGATGCTATACCTCCATTTTGCTGCAAGTTATTAAACTTCTTTGTTTTGTTTTTTTTTTTGTTTAAATTGAGACTTGTGTTGCAAGTTATAAATTTATAATGGAGGAAGAAAAAGCTTAAAGATCTAGCTCCAAAGAATTTGGCAGCACACATCACTAAGACTGACATCAGAATAATAGATCCATCTGCATCGGTCGATCTCTACTCTCTAGAAACAGGCGTGGAAGCCCAAAATACTGATTTAATTATGCGAAACATAAAAATTTTGTTTTTTTTAACCCTGGCTTTTATAAATCCTTCTAAGATTTGTAATGATTATTTCATTTCAGGATGACCGATGAACACATAAGCTAATCCTGCTAAAGGGATTTAACCATAGATGGGATTTTTTTTACGTACATCCTGAAGGAGCAACGTCTTTTTATCAGTTAACACAGTGCCTTTAAAAGGTACATGAAACCTATTCCCACTTTGTCACGTTACTGATAAAAATCTGACCACTGCGGCGTGCATTTCTGTTTCGCCCCACTTTCTTAGACCCCCTTATATAAAATATGGTGCAACTCTTTGCTCCACCAGTTTCAATGGAGTTAAAATGTGTAGAATTTGTGTCTTTATATTAAGAGTGAAGATTAGTGAACAAACATCATGAAGAAAACGGAACACAGCCAAGAGGTCAGAGGTAAAGTTATATCTGAAATAATATCTTAAGATCTGAACGCCTCACAGAGCTTTGTTCAGTTCAGCTAAATATGCAAAGAGCAAACCTACACAGACATGTCCGTCCACCATAACCTACAAGCTGGACCAGAAAATTATTCATAAGAGAAGAGAAGCAAAGAGCTGGGGTCAGAAAAACTGCTAATAGTCTGTTCTAGCAATCAAGCAGATTATACCCCTTTCCCACTGGCCGAAAAAACCCGTTTAAACCCAGAAACAATCAGCTTTAGTGGGAACAGCTCACTGACGCGTGTCTAACCGGGTCAAACGGCTCGGCAAGTGACCCGCGTTAACAACGCCTCAGCTGTGATCGCCATGCTATGGGAACACCAGCCCCGCTTTAGCTGTCTTATTTACGTGAACAAAACGCAACCTACTGACATCACCACACCGTGCCAGTTGCCTCTGATCTAACAAGTCGAAACAACTCTGTTGATATTCAATAAACATGGCGTAGCACTAGTAAGAGGGATTAATGAACCACACTGACTACGCACTGGCTTCCTTACATGTTGCTCTTCATTGGTTAGTTTCCTGATTTCTGTCACACTGGTGACATCATCAGAGGCCACACACCTTGCCAACAAGAGGTTAGATCCAGCTATTTTTTTTTTTTTGCCAGTAGAAAGGGAGCCAAATGTCGTTTCTTAGCGGGTTGATCCATGTTTGAAAAAAAACTGTTAACCTGGTAGTTTCAGAGGGAAAGAGGCTTTGGAAAGCTAGAAGAAGTCCTCTACTAAAAGATTAAAGGTAAACATGTGGAAGGTAGTTCTCTGCCCAGATGAGACCAGAATCTAACCGCCTGAAGCCTAATATTGGACTTAAGATTTTCGTTCTGTTCAAAGCTGGTGGATCAGATGAGCTGGATGCATATGAATTACATTTTTTATAAAAACTGGAATCTTTTCTTAAGGAGTCTAATTTCCAAAGCACTGGAAACTCAAAGACATGCAGTTTAATAGCAAGTAGCATACCTGTAGTAAATTAAAGTGTGGTCCACTGAGAGGAGAAGAAAAGGCATGACAGTGTAGCCGATGGCCAGCTGGGTCGCCGCCCACGTCACAACGTCGTACCCAAGCTTCAGCGCTCTGGAGCCAGTGAAGTAGTGTCTGATAGACCTCCGGATCTGATGCAGAGACAGGAAAAAATAACTAGGAGTTCTTAGCTGTTGCTTTTTACTTTCTTCCAAAGCTGCAATTCCACAGGAGGAGGTTTACTCACAGCTCTCGCTGCTATGGTGATAGGGATGGCAGTGATGAAGGTGAAATAGTAGCCTGGATACACGCCATGCCACAGAGCAGACAGCAGGAAGGTCAGCGCCAAGCGATGCTTCGGAGCTCGGTCATAACAAACCCTGAGAAAGAGCCAGAACAACAGATACCGTACATTTATTCTAGGCCCTGTCTAATAGCTTTATGTCTAAGGGGTCATTGACCTTTGAACTCACGTTTTGAGCCAAATCCCTGTTTGAATGTTCCAGTTGTCGATGAAGGTCTTAAAGCTGGTCGCTGTCTAGAAAAAAAACAAAAAGAGTCAGCAGTTTATATTTTCATCCGTATTGAAGATTAATCCATATAAACAGAAATAAATATCAATCAGAAGTTTAGAGTTGGACTTTAATTGATGCATTTAAAGCATTTCTTTATGGATTATATTATATTATTTTCTAAACCTTATACATACACTATACATTATAAAGAAGAACTGCATGCAAAGAATGAAAAAAAATACAAATTAAAGCTCAAATATGTGAAAACATTCCACTAAGATTTGAATAAATATCCCTTAATAAACTGCAGAGAAACCCCAATGCTGTTTTATCACAACATTAAAAGTTTAAACAATCTGGGTTTAAGGTGAAGTGGAACATTTTTTAGTCATTAAATCATTTTATTATGGTTCAGCCTTGGATGAGTCACAACCTCTTTCCTGTTATCTGAGTGTGACCCTATATGTGAATGGGAATCATAGATCATTTTTGAGAGAAAAAAGGTCCAGTAAGAATCTACCAAGAAGATACTAGACAACAGCATGCAGAGTAGTAGAACTGAAGCTGAATCTATCTAAATAAAGGAGTTTTAATACATTTTCCTAAAATATCAAACTTCCACAGCCAATTCTTGTATTCAGAAAGTCATTAAGATTGCACGTTGTATCGTCATGACACAATATGGAAATGAAAGGCTTCCTTGTTTTATTAAAACACCTTATCAGTACTTTATAGTTTTCTTAAATTTACCTCAATCCCTATGATGTTAAGGTTAGAAATGAGGTCCCAGGAGGGTCTTCCACTCTCATCTATCCCCAGAAAACCATAACCTGCTGCATTATTTACTGCATCAGCTAAAAAACAGCAAAAAACAGTTACACAACCATTAAAAATTCTAAACAAATATCTCATAACTTCTCTCAAACTTGAACCAACAACAAGGTTCTCAAACAATGAAATAAGAAGCTTTCATAATCCAACATGTCTGTGTTTATCTTTAATTCCCGATTTTTACCAAGCGTCCAGGCGAAGTAGAACTTGGGTCTTGCAGCTTGTATGGAGAAGAAAGCATATGTGAGCCGGGTGAGGAAGGAGGCATGGCTGACAAAGTGGTCATCTATGTTATAATTAATGGGCAACGAGCGGGTGATAAAAAGGAAGCAGGACATGCAGGCGGAGCAAACCAGCAGCTTTTTACACACTGCGCCCTGAAAAAAAACATCATATAGGCAGAAAAATTATAGATAAACCGATAAAGTACCCTACACAAGACAAAACATGAAGGAATAATTAAATTCATGCAGATCAATGTTAATTATTTAACTTTAATAATTAAGGTCTATGATTTAACCTTCAATAGAAGAGAAACTTTGTTGTTTTTTTTGTTTTTTTTATTTATTTATTATGCTCTAATGGGGGTTGATGAACTAACCAGAGGGGACAGGTCCGGTGTCTTGTCATGGCCGTTCTGCCCATTACACGCTCCAGGGTGCTGCTTTAACCTGCAGCTGATGTGTTTGCCCTCTATGAAGTCGATGTAGTCCTTATAGTTGCTGCAAGGCCCGACCAAGACGCTCAGGAAGTTCAGGTTATAACTCAGATACTCCATGAGAGACGGCCTCACTCTGCAGGAAAAGTCAAAGCAGATTCAATAAAACTGTACCCAATTAGAATAAAAAAAGAATGTTACATTATACAGTAATACATTATAGAAAAGTCTAGAATTAAAAAGTGCAAGATACATAATGTAGGATTTTTGTGTTTTTATATTCAGATCTAACATGCATTAATTATTCAGCCCCCTTTTCTCTGATACCAGTTACTAAAATCCAACGCAACCAAATACAATCAGGAAACGGAGCAGAAAAGCTGCAAACACCAGACCGTCTACCTGTCCTGGACTGGCTGGTCGAGTAGAGCATTAATTAAAGTGTAGTAACAGGGAAGCTATGAGTCATGCACTGTAAATATATGACTGTAATCTAAGAACGGCAAGAAGGAAGGAACAATAATGCAGTTCACTAAAAGCCATTAAGGGCCCACAGCAAATATTTTCTTTCTTTCTTTTTTTTTTTTTAACAGTGTCCTGTCTGGCAATGTGGCAATAAGAATAATTGTCTTGATGCCAAAAAAAAGCCCAACACATTTTACTTTCACAAGTGAAGCAGTAGAGCTACTGCCATATTGTTCCACTTGTTTCATGCATATAAATTGCGTTATTATAATTATGCAGGGAGTTTTACAGATTAAATGGACACTGCAATGTAAATAGAATACAAAAGGAAAACAGAAGAAGAAGAAAAAAGAGAAAAGATGAAAGAAAGAGGAGATAGAAAGGTGATAGTGATAAAACATTTTCAGCAAATATTTTGTTTAAATAAGCTGTGATTGGATGAGACTGAAATGTTTTTTTTTTGCTTTTGCCTGCATGCATGCATCCCTGAATGGAAACATGGTGGTAGCAGCATCATGCTGTGGGGATAGATTTGATCTGCAGAACAGGTCAGAGAGATGGTTTACAATTGATGGGAAGATGAATCTAAAAAAAAAAAAAAAAGAGAGCAATCCTGGAAGAAAAGACGCGATAATGTTACAAGCTGCTGTGGGAGTGTTTGGAATAAAGCATATGCATGTAACTGATAGACTCAGTTTAATAGATTTGAAAATTGTTCCAATAGGACTGAGCTTCACCTATTTTGGAAAGAAAAAGCAACAATTTCATCTTTAGATGAATGAAGCTGGTAGAGAAAACCTTCCAGCTGTAACTGCTGTTTCTAGCTCTGACAGCTGAATATAAAATGCACACAGTCTGCAGAACCTGGTGGGAATAAAACTTGCTTCCACCTGTCAGTTATGTGGCACTTTATGTTGGTCTATCGTCACATTAGAATACAATAATTATTTACCTCAGCTGGTGGATTATATTGGTGGAACGGCTGATACTTGGTTTTAAAGTTAATATCCGATATCAACAGAATGCCGATAACATCCTGCATCCCTATACAACAGGAAATCAGCTCTTCATTTCAACTCGTCTGACCTTCAGGTCACATTCAAAGACAACTAAGGTCAGATGGAGAACTGCAACTGTTTCACTTTGTCTTGATTTGCTAAGTTATTTCATATTTAATAAGCATGCAGCGTTGATGACGGTGATTCTATCAGTTTTCATGCAGAAAAAGGCTGGATGTTTCATGCAAAATGATGCCTCTCTTAAAAACAAGCTATTCACCATTATTTCCCCACCTTGTCATTGTCCTTTGTTGCTAAAGGAAAAGAAAAGGTTATTTAATCTTTAAGCATGGTGTTAGTTTAGGTACAAAACTCCCTTTTAAATAGCAGACCTCCCGTTTTTAAAAATCATGCTTGTCATAAAAAGAATTATGGAAACCCGTCTTTTAGGGAAAACCTACCGTATAGCCAAGTGGTTCTGTTCCACTGTCAGCTGTTCACTTTTCTTACACATGCCTGAAACAACAAAGATCATAAAAATCTAAATTCATGCTCCTTAAATTTCAGGAGCAATCAAATGATAATAGAATCATAGTTAATATCAACTTCTCCTGTTTTCACATATTTACTTTACCAAATTTAAAACTGTCCCTGGCATTTTTTTGTATTTCTGTGGATAAATTCTGGTGTCTCACCGTCATGCAGCTGGAAAGCCAGCATTGTTATCTTCTGGGTTACAATCATCAGGGGCCTGTGCAGAAAACAAATCAGTTTATTGATCATTTAGACTTTAAAGAGTCATAACTGTCATTTTTATAGCTTTGAAATATAAATTTAAAAAGCACAAAAAGCCATTAGAGGAACATAAACCATGCAAAGATAAGCAGGGCTTTACACAGTGGTAAAAGTTAGGCATTTCACAGGAAATTACTGAGCTGGGGTGGACGTATATATCAAGGATCGAGGACATATCTTTATTTTTTTTTTTTTATGTCAGAGTTTCTAAAGACCTTTATAACTTATACCTCTGTGTGTCCTTGAGGTATAACTATGACCTGACACATAGACCAATTCTGGACATGCCACCCAATGGAGCTAGCAAGCAGATGGTAATGGAAGTCAAAAATCAACAGAGTTCACTCTTAGATAACTGTCATAAAAAGTGCATCTGGACACCAAATCTCAAGACATCATCAGACAGCATCTATAAACCGGATAACTTTTTATTTACAGACTGTAAAACACGCTCAATTATAAACACTGAACAAAGTGTCAGAAGGATCATCTGCATGAATTAAAACTCTAGAGAAGTTGGAATACAATAATATATACCTTATATATACAGAGGGATATTAAAGAGCTGCACCAACAGGAAGTGCTGCTACTCTCTCTAGTTCATTTTTCTCCATTTTATGCTCATTTTTGCAAGTCCAGCCTTTTTATATAAGCAGTCAATCACAGTTAAAGGCCAACAGGTGAGTTCACATTAATATCAAAAAGATAAAGATGGAAAACCACCAGTGTGGTGGGAAATATTACAATACAGAATCAGAAACAATGATGAACGTTCATCATCATGACACGCATCTTAATCCAGTCTAGTTTCTACAATCAGCTTATTTGTCTCTACTGAGAGAAATGTGTCGTTTCTTTTTTAGTTAGAAGCTCTCTAAGAAGACTAAGACTTTGAATACATGCTGTGAAACTTTCTGTAAGATATCAGGGATGTAAATCCCCAGCTTTATCATAATCCATTCATCCATTTTCTGTCACGCTTTATCCCTGCAGGGGTCGCAAGGGGTTGCTGGTGCCTATCTTCAGCTGTCAAGGGGCGACAGTCCATCGCAAGGCAACACAGAGACAAACGGGACAACCAACCATTCTCAGACTTAGATTTTATTTTGTCATTTTGTACTAACAATTGCAAACAAAAAGAATGTTTGTTAAGTACAGCTCTCTAGACTATTTCCTTTTTGAAGTGCAGCCTTGATAAAGGCAAGCAGCAGGGATAAAAACATTGTTATGAAAAAAAACTCATGTAAATATACGGTATGACTGTATAGTTACGGTTCCAGGTTGTTTTTTTTAGAAACCATTTTACATAACATTCAGCAGTCTAATAGCAGTGGGGAAGAAACTGTTCTGGAATCTGCTGGATCTGCATCCAATGCTGCAAAGCTTCTTCTGAGAGGGCAGCAGGGAGAACAGTCCATGGTGGGGGGTGTGAGCGGTCATTTATGATGCTACGGGCTCAGGACACGCAGCGCTGGGATGAAATGCCTTTAATGGAGGGAAGAGGAGCCCCGATGATCTTCTCTGCTGTTCTCACCACTCTCGTCACTTCCTTCCAGTCTAAGGCGCTGCAGCTTCCACACCACACAGTGAGACAGCGTTTTAAGCGCATATTTGAAATTGTCTAGAGCTGTTCTTGGCCGCTGCCTTGGAGCGCCGCCATGGTGACCCACTCACTGATTACCCATGGTAATTCACACACACACACACACCTAAGGACAATTTAGAGAAACCATCTAACCTAACAGTCATGTTTCTGGACTGTGGGAGGAAGCCGGAGTACCCGGAGAGAACTCACGTATGCACAGGGAGGACAAGCAAACTCCATGCAGAAAGACCACGGGCCGGGAATCGAATCTCAAACCGTGCTGCAAGGCAGCAGTGCTACCCACTGCTCCACTGAGCAGCCCAGCTTTATCATAATATCATACCTTTTTAATTTGGTAGGTTGACAATAAGATGTTCACCAATAAAAAGTTGAGGATCATCTATCAGAGATGCCGTTTTTAAACTAAATAACTCAATATGCTGTTAGGAACCATCTTTAAACAGTCCTCCTTTATTAGCATCAGGATCTTTTTTTTTCTGACATAGGTTTGCTGCTGGAGGCTTAAGAAGCCATTTTAGGAGGCTACTTCATCTGATGAATCCATACTCTGTTCTGATACAGGCAAATGGGGTTATTTATTAATCTAGTGCTATAAATTCTAATCCTCAAATTGGCTGAATCATCTTCTCTGTTTAATTGGATTTTTCCTCAAATATTGGCCTCTATAGCAATAAACATTTCATAAAAAGAGCCTGATAGAAGCAATGCAACATACAGAGTCCAGCACTTTATTTCTGCACTTTTCTCACATTCAGATTTCTCTGTCACAGGAATTCTAAGAACTAAGCACCACATCTCTCCACCTGACACAAACACTCCCTTATTAACACCCTCAGTTCTCTTTTTAAATGGGCTCCATTGTATGCATAGAAAGCCGTGAAAGAAAAGGGGCGGGACATATGGCTGGCAGTGTCTGCTCATCAGCAGTTGGCAGGAAGGGTAGGAGTAAAAAAAAACATCGTCAGGGTACCACCCAGCATGCTCACAGCTTCGATTTCACAGACTCGATTTCACATGTGGTCTATACAATCATTAGCTAATGGTAAATTCTGGGAGCAAAATACCGTCCAGACAAACCTTAGAGGGAAACTAAACTCCTCTCTGGAGAAAACAAAACTAGAAAATCATTTGGAGAGTGTGAACCGCAAAGAAGCTAATTTCCCCCCCGAAATATTGTGACTTCCACCTTAAAGTAACGTCTGTATTCACAGGATCATTCAACTAATCTCTGGATCTAAATGGTGATTCAGATCATCATCAAAATGTAATAATTTGTTGCCAGCCACAATACACACCTTCTTTGAAAACTTCAGCAAAGTCTGTCTAGAGCTTTTTTTCTTATTTTGAAAACAGACAGACAAACATAACCTCCTTGGATGAAGCTAAATTAGTCCTACCAGCGGGCCAAGTGTTGTCCAGGGAGATCAGAGTGAAAACCTGGAGTGTCTGAGGAGTTTGGAGAAATCATGAAACAAGACTATCAATCGGCCTCAAATTAAGTATGCTAAAGGTCTACCAGAGAGCTTGTTAGTGGGAGCTGCTGACCTTGACTGAAGACACGGTCAGTGGGTAGAAGGAATATTTTGAGGATCTCCTCGATTTGCCTGACACATCTTCTCTGGTAGAAGCTGGTTGCTTGGAGCAGGACTTCATCACCCAGGCTGAGGTCACCACGGTGGTCAAAAATGTTGACAGTGGCAAGTCTTTAGGGGTGAATGTGGTCTTCCCCGACTTGGCTGTCATGGCTGACACATATCTACAGCATTGTGTGGCGATCAGGGACAGTTCTCTTGGACTGGCAAACTGGTATGATGATTCCCTTCAATAAGAAGAGGGACCACACGTTTCTTAAGCCTGGTTTATGCTCAGAAACCAGGTCATCTGTGTGTGTGTGTCGCAGTTAACACAGATATGACCCCCTCTTCCGCAGACACACCTCCCCAAAATTGTAGGTGACCACAGACAGTATCGCAGATAGCATCGCAGGAGATAAAGGAGGCCTCTGATTGGTCAGTTCTATATCCGCTCTACACTATGCGTAATTCCTGTGTGGTACCCAATGGCAGAAACTCTGGCTGTAGTGGCATCCACAATGCCTGGCACATCTCAGACACTATCCCAGACATCGTGCAGGATGCTAGTTTGTAGCTCTGTGCGACAATCTGTTGATTTGCACCCGAAGCCAAAACACGCCGCACCACGGCCAGTCTTTCGTGTACATTCACGGGTGAACTGTGTGTCGTCCGGCGTTGGATGAGGGGTTGTAGACGGCGAACAAACTCATCAAACCGACACATGGACACCCACAATCCTAGCTAGTTTGTGATTGTCCCTCTTGAGTTGTGGCGTGGAATAACATAGTGCAGACCACGCTGCAAGATTGGGCATAAATCAAAAATATGTCATCATAATTGCGACAAGCTAACTGCGGCACACTGCTGAGGTAGCATAACCAGCCCTTTAGCCTACCTGGGAAAGCTAATGACAGAGAGCTAGAGAGAACCATTATGCTGATTGTTGAACCTCAACTTTAGGACGTACAGTGTTGACCTTCATCCTGACTTAGAAACACTGGACCAAATGCGTTTTTTGGACTGGTAGGAGCCATCCAAAAGTCTGATATGACTGGTAGATTTTTTTCACTGCTCTTTTGTGTTATGCTCGTTCCCTTTCTGACAGACCCACAGCGTGCGCTGGGGCAGTTCACAGCCAAGTGTTAAGCAGCCCGGATGTACAACAGCTCCTCCAAATCTGACTCCATGGTGCTCGCTTGGAAAAAGGCAGCTTGTCCTGTTGAGGTTGGAAACGTGATGCCCTAAGTGGAGGAATTAAAGTCCCATTAATTCCTGTTCACAAGTGAGGGGAGAATGGAGCTGGAAATCGATGGATCATTGTCCTGCCATTATAATGTGCTCTTGATTTACCGGTTGGTTTACGTTCCTACCATCACCTTGGATCATGAAATGTGGATCCTGACTGAAAAAGAGTACAGTACAGTACAGGATGGAGAGACTGTCTCTCTCTGCTGGTCC